TAGTTTAACAAAATGCTTTAATGTCGACACCTATAATTTAGAGTTTGAATAAAGTTCTTAATGCCACGTACTAATGAGGATGCTTCCTTTGCATGTGAAATTGCACACCTGCAAAACTACTGTCCCATTTTCTTGGTAGAAAATGGTGTAATTAGGATCCCCATTTTTAGTTGAAGCCTCCTTGTTTTTACATGCTCATTGTTTTCCATGTTAACTCCATTTGTAAACTTTTCACTGTAACCTGGAATGACTTAAATTTAAAAAAGAACATTTCCCCCCCAGCATTCTTGAAAGTTAGCAAGAGCTGAAATATGTCATTCCATATCCTCCATCTCCAATTTTATTATGTAAAAGTATTGGAGTTTTTTGTTTCTTCATATATTTTAAGAGGACATAATGAAATTACTTATGTTTTAAAAATTACAAGTTTAAAATCTTGACTGAAGAGTTTGGGGTTTTTTGTCTGAACCCTTTAATTTACCATGAAGATTTTGAGAGAGTAAAAGCTTCAGTGCAAAAGTGAAAGGATTAGCATTGGATCCAAGTTGCAATAAAAGGGATATAGTGAGTCAGAAGGAAGCTTCCAAGTTGCTTGAATTTGGAAGTGCATGCTGTGCTGCTCATTTGTTCAGCAAAGAGAAGACCTACTTTATGTAAGTTAAGACACAGTAGTTTAATATTTGCATGTGATGATAAAAGGCCCTATTTTTAATGTAATAAGAGGACATAAACTTTGATTTTTGTATTTGCTTTTAAAATTTCTTTAGCAGCATTAGCAAGGCTGTACTGGGTGTTTCTCTGTGCTCTTGCATACTGTGTTACATTGGTGATGTACAGTTGCACAGGCTTATGGTTCAAATAAGAAAAAGGATTTTCATCTTGCTTCTTTTCTGATTCTTTTCTGTGACAGTTCAAAAATTATAAGGAGCACTAAAGCAATTATTTGGGTTGCCTCCAACTTAACATCATCTGTGCAAGCAGATGTTTGAGGAAAGGTATACCTTGTACCTAGTGCTTTGCCCACTCTAGAGTTGGAGAGAAGCCTGCAGGCACACATTCAAACTAGAAAATGCTTTTCGTAGCCCATGGATTCTTGACCGAAGTTCAGGCAAAGTTTTCTGGGGATGCTATAGTGGGTGCTTTGCCAACACTGGCCTGAAATGGGTTACTGACTTAGCAACAGCAGCTGATGGATTCCCAGCTCTGAAACTGGGTGTTAGGCAGAGTGCTTCCATTCAAAAGTGGAGTTAAAATTCACAGCTGTTGTACATAAATTCTATAGAAGTGGAGAAAACTTTGACTCTGCTTGCAAAATATTTTTTTTAGGTTCTATAGAATATTCCCATACCATCACTTATTTATGCAACTAAACACCTTTGTCTACTTCTCAGTCAATTTAATACTCTTACCTGGCAATAGGAAGTGGCATGAGGAAAACGTGGATCCTTGAGAAACACAGTGCTTGGGGGTTGGGTGAAGGTTAATGGTTCCTACTGATGGTCATTGGATAGGATGATCTTGAATACCAGCATTGTTACTTAAAAATAAAGCAAGTCCTTTTGCAAAATGGAGAACGTAGATGGTTTCTTTCTTTTTACGCTGGTGTCCTGTGTCTCCTAGGCCACCATTCCAGAAAATAGTAAAATGCCTGCTTTGTTTCTGGCTCCTGCTTCAAGCTTCTGCATTAACCATAGGATAGTTTTATCTGTTTTAAGGATAATACTTTCATGGATAGAATATGATTATTATGCATAGAGCAACCTATTATTTCCTCTTGCTCTAAATGTGGTGGATAGATCACCACTGCATGTTATATCCATGTTTCTACTTTTTCTACATCATCCATATAGTCTAAAGGGTTTTAGCTGTAGGGAACATCTGTCACAAACCCACATGTTTATATTCATACAAATTGGCAGTTGTGTCAGCTCCTCAAAGAGATGTTCTTCAGGATCTCTTTGTAAGCAGATGTGCTGTGATTGGAAAACCTTCTTTAATAATTAAGTACAATTAAAGTATCTGGAATCTGTTTGAGTTACTAAAGCAGCATTGAAGACTGATTCTTTTTATGAAAATACAATTGCTTGAATTTTGCATTACAAATATATAATAAACTCACATCTGGAAATTTGAGCAAAGTTCTCTGCAGACTGCACAGTGAGCAATGCTAAAATGGGGGGTGTCATGCTTAAGATTATTTTTTTAGTTATAAAATTAGATGCATTAATCATGACAAGTAAAAGTTCAATTAGAAAAAACTTAGTTTCATCTATTCACTTGCAAAACACCCCTGTAGACTACAACCAGCCCAAAAGGAACAGATGCATGATGAAAATAATATTTTGTATTTCAGTTAAAAAGATGGAGCTCAATATCTATCCCAATTTCTATATTGACACAGCTCAATATCTGTGCTGTCAGATAAAGAGAAGTCTTCTAATTCAATTTAAACCTCATTCAGTTCAATCTTCTGTAGAAGAGTGTTGGACCCTGAAGCCAGTTTTCATGTCCTACTTTAGGTTATTCGTGAGCCGCTTCTCCTGTAGGAGGAGGGTCAGGAGAAAAAGGCAGAGGGGTGGCTGGTCTTTAAAATTTGTTACAGAACCACTAATGTTAATCTTAAGTTTTATTATGTTTAAAACATGTTAATCTTTTTAAAAGCAGCACAGAATGTTGTAGTTCAAAGATCTGAGTTTAGTGTCAGTCAGGTTTTAATAGTTTTATGCAGTCTTTTCCTTTCAGGAACTTTTTTGCTCTTCTTTGGCTCTACTCTGTATAGTTTCCTAAATTTCTACACTGTTTGCCTACAGTGTTTTCATTGTGCTCTTTTGTCACATTTTACCACATATCCCTTCTTTTGTATCTTCCCAAGCTTCCTTTTTTGTCATTATAAGGTGTCTGCTCTCTCTTTTTGTTTCCACAGACCGTTTCTCTCTCTCAGGTTTCCTTCTTTCCATTTTATTTTGCCTTCTCTCAAAACCTAATCCCCACTCTCCCCCCATTGATAAAGGCGGAAAAGTATGATAATTTATGCCAAAGATACTATTAGGGATCAGAATAACTTCATGCTTGAATGCAAAGTCAACCCATCTAGCCAGCAGCTGTCAGTAAGGTGAAGGTCTGGTTCATGCTAGAGAATTTTTTTAGATTTTTTCCGTATACCCACATAGCTAAAATCTCTAGTCAGTTGGTATCTTCATTTAAGGTTCTTCAGTGACGATCTTTTCCTCTTCATTCCCCTTCTTATCCCAAAACATCCTGACTTCTTTAGGGATTTGTCTTCTCAATAAGCCTAACAAATCCTGGAAGATGCCGTTCACTTTTATGGTCTTACACACTGTCTTTTGATTTTCTTTATCTCTTGTCTTACTAGTGTTGCACATTAGCTTTCAGGAATAATTCTCATCAGTTTTGAAACTGTTCTGTTTTGAAATACAAATATTTCACAGAGAAAGGGACAGAATTTATCCTTTCCAGCTATTCGGATAGCAACCAAATATAAGCTGTGCTCTGTCTTCGTAGCTGTGTCATACTCTTCACTACAAGTAGTTACTTGCATTTTGGACAGATGAGGACCTTCACTTTCATATTTTTAAGACAATATGTGTTATTTCCACTGGACTCATGCCAGTCATCCCAGGATTCATTGGGATGAGTGTTGGCAGAACCCTTGCTGACTGAAGTAGCTTTTGTACCCCAGATACCTACTCAGAGTGAATGTATCAAATGATCTTCCTTTGCAGTTTGGAACATAACCAAATATATTACTCAGGATTAACCATGAGACATGGCAAATGGATGTAAGATAGCATTGACAGAAAAATGGAAAAAAACCACAGAAACAAACCCCACCATAAATGTGAGTTCAGCATCTTTTCTGAAGGTGTTTAGTTTTCCAAATGAACCTTGGTTTGATGAGCTGAAGAAAGTTGAAACCTGGTTCAGTTTTGCTCCATTCTAGGAAACAGTTGTCAGACAGAGAAGATAGTCTGCCCAAGCAGGAGGTGAAAATGAACAAGGTGGAAATGCATGCAACCAACTCTCCTGTTACATTTTCTCCAGTCAGTAACTGGAGAATTTTTCAAACTTTCACTTGCTTTTGCTCAAGGTGGTCAAGTTTGATGCATCTTCAGCTCTTTATGCTTTGACTAGGGAATAAAAAAAAGTATGACTTGAACTTTCAGAAGAAGAATAAATAATTCTTGGTTTTATTGCTGGACTTCGATCAGTATCTCTCCAGGTACATTATAAAAGATAGCTAGTGTTTTAAAAATCTTCACTAATTTGGCATGGCTATCTTAACACAGGGTCTGTTTTAAAAACACATTGAACACTTGCATCTTCTGACTTGAAAGAAAAGAGAAGGGAAAAAAGAGCATAAAACAATAAAACCCAAGCCTGTAGGCAGAATGTTTCATGACAATAGTTGTGGGGTTTCTTTTTAATTATATGTAATAAAAAACTTGCAGATCATACCCACTCTTTGGGTGAGGGGATAAGACAAGAAAAGTTCCCTTGCCTGAGGCTCAGGGTTGGAAATATAAACCATAGTTAGTTGACATTATACTTTTTGATAATAGCAATGTCACCAGTGATCTAATGATGACTTGTCCTCCCCTTTGATGATATGTTATCCTGCAGATAATTGTTTGCATGATAGCAGATGATACAGTAAAATATTTTGATGGAAGACACAAACAGTTTCCCGTATAATAAAATGCTTTTTTGTAGAGTCTGAATTCCCACAGTGGGATCTGGTGGTGTCTGCTCTTCCATGAGCAGAATTGTGTCAGCAGAGACTGGGTCTGTGGTGGTACACAGTGTCTGTCCCAGCAGTTTTAGTGCTGATGCATTACAACAGTTGGACTTCTCTTGCAGCACATGGTTTTCTATGGGGCTGCTACTCTGGGTCTGCAGACGGGAGTGCAGCCTTAGGGGATTGCAAGACCATTGCTTAAAAAAAAACTTACCTTCTTCCCCGTCTCCCCTTTTCTTTACAGAAAATATCAGAGAGGAACCCGAGTACGCCTGAGACTGCTGGATCTTGAACTCACGTCGAGGTTCTTGGGGGCAAAAACTGATACCACATTGCTGGAAGCTGATGCAGTGCTTTTAGGGCTTGCAGAGAGCAAGCAAACAAAGCAAAAGGAGTAAATCCACTGCAAATAAATGCACTTTGTGCTCTGTAGCAAATTATACAAATGAAATGTTTCCTCAGGAAGTAAATGAAAATTTTCTGTCCGCTTAGTTAAGTAAATAATGAGATCAATAAAAGACAATAAGCACATTGTACCTGATTCTTGCTCCATTTTTATTGACTAATCTTTCTAGGTCTTTGCCTTTGGATTTAAAAGTAAAAGGTAAACTGAGCTTCTGTAGGGAATGTTAATTGAATATTTGATGTTGTTCTTGTAATTCTTGTATAAAGAATTCCACAGTTCATCATACTGTCCCAAAGGAACGTTGATCTGAGGACATTGTACTTCCATGGAGGAAGTGCAGATCTTGCTGCCGTGGTGCTCCTTCCAGTACAGTGTTTCATACAGAACAACATGCAGGATTTTTGATTTCGAAGTTGCAGTGCAGACTGTTTACTGCAGATATTGTGTTTGATATCCATTATAATGCATCATGCTTTTATCTCCATCAGCATGAGGAACTAGAGATAATTCTTTGTTTTAATCAGAGTTCTCATTTCCAATGCATATTAGTAATTTTTATCTGGTTGTTAATAGAAATGAAAAGAAATTGTTTCAATGCAGTAGGCCAAGTGTAGGCCTTAGTTTTCTATGAGTGTATTTAAGATAATATAACAGGTGTTTGATCACACAAGCAAAGAATCATGCTGTGGTGTTTCCAGTATCTTTTTGGAGCATTTCTTTTGATTTCTGTTCTGTCCAAGTCTGTATTCTGCACAGTCTGCATAGTGCCTAGCAGGTGTGCTGAGGGCAAGGGAAATTTGCTATTCATACCACTGAATTACAAAAGAAAGCCTGTTTAATCTTAAAATATTTTCCCAAAGTTTGTAATGAAATGAGATTTGTTGAGGTGTCATGCCTTGTTTTTCTGCACTGACTGTCCAGCAACAATGTGTTTCTTTTTGTATGTACTTTATTCAGCAAATTGCACAAAATTCAGCAAAATGCACACTGGCTTAAGCATATATTACTGAAATTCACAGGCACCTCACCTTTCTGTTGGAGCAGGGGACCAGGGAGCCAGTTCCAGGCTACCACAGCTCATGCATCCCTTTCCTTGCCTTCATCTGAGGGTACTTGGATAAGATGGCATCAGAGGGCAGAAATTGAGAAATTTTGTTAGACCACAGCTGGCCTGTGAGTCAGGTTGCCACCCAAACTCTGCAAGTCTTCATATGGTCCAACAAAATTTATTTAGAACAGGATACAAAAGCTTTAATCTGTTTTATAGGTCTTTTCCAAAAACATTGTAATTTCTCTTTTAAAGGTTTTTGTCTTTCATGTTTTTGTTTAAAAACATATAAAAAGAAATGTGAAAGGAAGGCTGAAGTGCCTTTTTACCTGGAACCACAGCCCTATGGCACAGCGCTGTGATTCTTTCTTAGTCCTCTGACTAAAAGAAAAACTTTGACCCAAATAAACAAAAGAAAACTCATGTCCTACCTTTGCCCTTTCGTAACACTGAAAGAAGAGTTATCATGCAGACAAAATCGTAGAATTGTTAAGATTGAAAAAGGTCTCTAAGATCTTTGAGTCCAACTGTTCAACCGGCACTGCCATCTTCACCACTAAACCATGTCCTTAAGTGCCACATCTACAAGTTTTCTTAACACTTCAAGAGGTGGTGATTCCACCATTTCCCTGGGCAGCCTGTTCCAATGCCTGACATCACCTGCTATGGGTAGTTTACAGATAAATCTCATCTATGATCTGTTGAGGAGAATATTTTTAATATAAGGTATTTATTTGCCCAAATACTAGGAGGAATCACATGGAAAATGCATAGCTGTTCTGGAGGAATGGACATGTTTTAGCAGATCCTTTTATAGTTTTGCAAACTGAAGTTTTGTTTCTGAAATCAATAAGGAGCCAAGCAAGAGAGAGGAAACAAGCAATGTGAGCTTATTTTGTTGCTTTAATTCATCTCAGTGATCTTAATTAGGGGATTTTGAACATGAATTTCATTGGATGTTAGCCTCCAGGTAAAGAGTTATCCTAGCATTAGAGCAGGAAAAGAAGGCCTTTTTAAGAAGCCAGGAGGGATTTAAAATATCAAAGAGAAATCCTGTCTGTTGAACGTAATTCATCCTATGTGCTTGATCAACCTTAAATACGAGTGACTTGGGAGGAAATATGTGCGTTAATATTTTGGGCAGGAGAAGAGTTAATTCACAGTAAGATTTCAAATAGTGATTTTATCAAACCTTCCACTGGATAACCTTTAGGAAGTAGCTTTTTGAGGCTGTAGTGGTTACTATTTCAAATCCATCTTTGTTTTATTTGGAAAAAGGTTTGCATAAACCGACCCACTCTTACAAACCATGGGGTTGAACCTTCAATGGCTTTAGGCTGCTGCTAGCCTTTGTGGCCTGTGGCAAACCAGTTGTTGTGCCAGCCCATCTGCAGTGACTTTCAGTTACTCACTGGACCTCTAAACTCTTTATACAAGAGTTGTCCCATGGAGGAGTCTCTGTTAGGGGTAGCCTGTGCCCATCACACATGGCGTCAATTCTGTACAACTTCCAAATGCAAAATTACAGTGATACAGCAGGGAATTTTAAAATGTCTTTGTGGTGGGATGTTGGGATTGCATTTCATATCTGTGATACCTGCACATACCAAGAATATGTGTAGACTAAATGTCCTTAAGACAACCTAAGGGACCACCGATATTCTTTACTGAACAGCCATGGTGCTACAATTGCATGGCCTATTCTATAAGACTGTTCACATATTTTATTCCAGTCTTTTATCAGAATAGAAATTGATAATTAATGCAGACAGGTATTTCTAGGGCTGGGTGTATAGAAAAATAACAAATGAAGTTATTTTGCTGTACGTTAACTTTGCTGCTGGTTGCCCCTATCTCTAGGAGTTCTCTCTTTCTTCATGACCACGTGCCTTTTTGCTGCTTTTCTTTGCATTTTCTGTTTCAAAGGTGCACAAGTGTATGTACAAGAGCAATGCACGGTGAAGTCTCCTTGTCCATGTGGTTCATATCCCGAACAGCCTTGTATGTGTCTGGGTTTGGGCAGCGGTGTCCATCTGAATTTTTGTTTGGAGGTCATTCTTATTTCAGGTATGACAATAGTTGTTTCTGCTAACATAAAGAAAGGGTAAAGCCGTCCCAGCAGCTCCTGTGGCACTGTGCCTAGCCCACATCACCTCCTGGAAAACTCTTGTCACTAAGTATGCTACATGTATTACTAATATTAACCATAGGAATGCCACTGATTCATACTGAGGCTGTAGCTGTAAGTGTAAATGTATCATTTTGCTGAGAATCCTGAGGGCGGTATAAACCAAGTTCTTCGACTGTGTTCATCTGACTGCTGAAATCAGGAATTCCTCTGTATGCCATGCTGTGTTTTCTTCTAAATTTTGTGATTTTGTCTTACTCTGAAGCACAGACCATATGAGCAAAGATCTTTACTAAAATCACGTGGATTTATTCTTGCACAGTTCATTTTTTTGATTATGCTGTGGAGAAGATGTTTGGTGTTAGCAGATCTCCGTGTTTCTTAATCTGTTTTTCAGATTTTTTTTTCCCCTATAACAATCTTGATTTTTGCAAGTGTTAAAGGTTTTTTTTGCTCTGAAATTTTTCAGGTAACAGCACAGACTCCACTTCATTAGCAGATACACAATTACACATCCTCTATCATATTCTGCTTTGCATGCTGCCCTCATCTCTTAGTTGACAAATTTCTCACTTAAATTTGGATGAGCATGACAGATTCACTGCAGGTAGTTGTAATTCATGCTTGCTATGGTGTAAAATTTACACTTGGAATTGTAGTGCTGCGTGCTCAGAGAAGAGCGTGAAACGCATCCTCAGCTGAGGGAGGAGAAGCCTGGCTGCCATCCCAGCCTCGTTGTTCCCTCTCAGTCTCTGTGTATGGGTGAGTCTGTAGCAAGTGGCCGTGGGCAGGTTCAAATCTTCCCTTGTACACAAGCAAGAAATATTTCCACACATTCTGCTTGAAGGACACTTAACTGTTTCTAGGCCTGTAACTGCAGTGCCCACAAACTTCACCCTGTCCCACATCCACTTCTTACTCCACTCAAATATACCTGAATGCCTGTAGTGCTCTCTGGGTTTACAGATGTGCTTATAAGCAAAGTTAGCGTTGATAAAAACTAAAATCAAAGCTGACTGGGGTTTTGGCTGAAGCAATACTTCACCTTTTACATTTATTCAGGTCCTGTGAAAGCTTTCGTAAGTTTTCCTAAAATTCTACCTTTTATTTTACGAGCAAAACATTAAACACTTTATACATACTTGGAAAGCAAAATAGCTTTATCATGATGTGGAGTTGGAAGAAAAATGAGAATAGTTCAATGTTCTTTTTATGACTGATGTGCTACAACAAGACCTGGTAAATCCCCTGGGCTTGTCTGCCCTTTCATATTTCAGGCCTTTAGGTGATCAGATGGGGAAAAAGGGAAACCCTGAAGAAATCAGGTCTGTGTATTGAGAGCAAATTAGCATCTTGCAACCAAAGCTTTGGCACTGAGCTGGTTTCTAAAGAAAAGAATACTTAACGTTTTACTTCAGGGCATTCTGGAAAGTTTGGGTTCCTTCTCGTTTCTTAATACTGTCACATTTATAAATCAGGCAAATTATTGTTCAGGCTTCCCCCCCCCCCTTTTTTTTTCTCTTTTTTTTCCTCACAGCATTATTCCCATATGCTGGGAGAACTTTTCCAGTCTTCTGTTTTGGCTAGAGAGCATTTCTGCTAGATACAAGCATGCACTCGACGTGCTTTTTAGTAAATTATACATTGTGGGGAAGTGTTTATTGCATATGAAGGGTCTAGACTGCCCAAATGAGGCTATTACATTGTCATCAGGCCATAACCCAAAATAAATATTATCCCTGGTATGACTGCATTAGACTAAGATCAGTAAGGTCTTAAATACCTTAAAGCATTCTTGTTGCCTTCTAGGTTGTGCCTCATTCAATCAGAGTTAAGCAGCCTGATGCACTCGCTACATGATGGCTCTAATGAGGAAATCAGCCATTAACGTGGCAGACTGTCTGCAGCAGGCTGGGTGTCAAGTGCAGCCAAAAGCTACACTTCCCAACTGGGTTAATC